GCTCAGGCAATCCACTCACCTCAGCCTCCCAAAGGCGCGGAATTACAGGCTGAGCCACCGAGCCCGGCTTGTTTTTCATTTTTAATGAATTTATTTATTGGTATAATTTGTCCATTCTTTTATTGCCAATCATAAATCTCAGTTTTAATTGTCTCCTAAATACAAAAAAAAAATCTGGATATTTTTCTATCAGTTAATCTGAAAACACTAGTAGTGAAAATACTTTAATAAGCAAGTTATGTCCACTTATGTTTATTGATGTAATCAATATTTTTATTATATTTTAAAGTGAAATTGACTTGTCTATTATATACAGGTTATTAATGTGTTCTATGTTATTGTGTTTTCTTCTCTAAACTAGTTTTCATTTATATTTTTACGATTATCTTTATATTAATATTTTTAGATAATCACGGGCTTCTTTTTTTCAGTTTATGCCTATTATTCTTTAGTACAAGATTCATTACGTTTAATTTGTAATTTTTTCTATTCTCTCTTCATCATGTTCCCAAGCATCTATTCATTGTAATATCATTTTATTCTCAGTTAATAGCCATGACACAATAAAAAACTTGTTCTAAATTTTACATGCTTTCACTATTGTCTCAGAATGGTAGTTGTATCTGTATTGTCACACCATATACTTTAACACATCACAATCTCTTCCTTGCAACCATCATTTCACTTCAGTTTTAAAAGTAATTCAACCTATTCATATGGTGTTATCTCTCCAGTCATTTTGTTTGCCCAAAGTAACTCAACTAGTAGCTTCCTTGAGTTGTGCTCATGGGAACAATATTCCCTAAATTTTTGTATGTTTATAATTGTTTGTAGCCTTTTGAACTACCTCATGGTTATTCATAAGATTCTCCTATAATCTACTGAATACATATGTATAGCTAATCTCCCTGGGAATGAATCGGCCTCTCTTTTTTGTCTCTGAACTTCCAGCTTTCCGTTTTGGTTGGAGGCTCTGATTCTCAGCCTGCAGGTTGTAACCTTTCCTAAGAAATAAAGTTCTTCTTTTCTGAAATTTATAGACCTTATAATTTTATGTTGACATTTTGCAAGACCCAGGAGTCAAGGAAATACTATTTATTAGAAAGCATGATATTTTTTTTTCTCTAAAAGCCTACTTGTCAATTGGGTTTTCATGAACTTTTAAAGTTGCTTTTTAAGCATATATCTTTCCTTGTATTATAATTCATTATCAATATTTATGTTTCTTATTAATATGTGATTTCTTTGAGGGACAGAGACTATTTTTCTTCTCTTTCTTGGTAGACATCAGCATAGTACCTAGAATATAAATGGAACTAAACTTTATTTTTCTAATTAAAGTAGACTCTGAATTTCAAAATACAGGTGTGTGATTACTTTTCAAGTGCAGGTAGGATAAATTACAGTTTTCAAGTGGTTATTATTATTTTTTCCAGTATAGCTTTGAGAATCTTTCAGAACAAAGGTATAGCAAATTGTAGCCTATACCTTGGTAGTCATTGAGTATAGAAAAACCCTGGAACCGTGAACAAGAGTGACAGGTTCTACAACTCCAAGAACCAAGTTAGACTGGAGCAAAGGATGTGAAGATGAGTGCAAGAATAAATGAAGTGCCAGATCCTGAAATTCTTTGTAGGATTTACTAAGGAGTTTGAATTTTATACTGCAAACAATGGATAACATTTCACACAAAGATTTTTGTTTTAAATGATCACTCTTGTGGCAGAGTAAAGGTCATATTGGTTATAAAGGGGTGGAAGACGTGGTGACAGTGTTGGAGGTGGGGATGAGAATAGACTGCAGAAAGAACTAATATAAAAACATTAATATTTTAGACCAGACTTAGAAAAGCCTTAATGAGAAAGGATATTCTGGAGATATTTAAGATATAAAATACATAGGGTTTTGAGAATTTAGTGAGAAATAGAATGTTCAGGGTGAGTGCAAGGAATCCTAGTAAATTTCCCAGATGCCTGTCTATGGTAATTGAATGAGATTTTGTGCCATTGCTAATATGAAATGTACAACATGAAGAACAGATATGAGGGAGTAGAAAATGAATTGTTTGAAATGGTTGCTTTAAAGTACTGATAGTTTCTCAATGATTAATGGGAAGTATCACTCTCATTCTGTTGTAATAATCAACATTTTATGAAGTCCTTACATTTGATTATCTTATTTGACTTATGGAAGTAATCGTCCTCATTTTACAGATAAATAAGCTGAGTGTCAGAGAAGATAAGGTATTTGTACAAGTCACATAGCTATAAATGAGCATAAATTTGACTTAAATACACATGTTCTGATTCTAAGTTCTGAGAGTCATTTACTAAAAATTCAGTCACATATTTTGTAAAGGGTCAAAATAAAAACAACATTCTGGTTATCTCTATTACATTAAAAATTCAGCTGACTAAAACATTTATTCCCGCTGCACATACATTCCTCCTCACCTTGCAAATGCATTAATGTCTTTTAATAACTATTTCATATCTACATACAACAGAATCTTCTTTAGGAAACATTACGACAAGAATACTAACACACACAAGCATTTTGCTTCCTCAACAGTTATTTCCAATATGTAACAATTAAAGCCACATGTTAACACACCACCATATCTGTATACAAGGCTTTCATTGTAGTTTTCATGTGGAATCTCTGTTTCAGAACCTGGAATGAAAGAATTAGAAAATAAAACCTTTTCTTCTCTAACAGTTCACTTACCTCTGTTTACCTTTATGCTCTACAGAGCCAGCTGAGAGTCTGTCTAAGGGAGAACCAAAACCAGAGAAACTTCTTTTCTTCTTTGTCTCAATCACATCATTCTCCAAGGACACTAATTCATCAAGAAGCAAGAGTTTTGCTGCCAGATCAGTAGCTGATTTCTCTTCCCTGATTGTGGGTGTTGACTGCACATCTATGACTCCAGAATCAAAGGCCTATAAGGACAAACAAAGGTGATTCCACTCATTTAGGTAAAGAGACTCCAAGTATGCACAGCATTTGCATTTAGCTTTGTTTTGTTTTGTTTTTTGAGTTGGAGTCTCACTCTGTCGCCCAGACTGGAGTGCA